TTGCCTGGTTCTTTCTCATTCCTGTTCCGTGCTTAATTCTTCTCCACAGCACCTCTTTTTTTTGTTCTTGCTGAGTCAGGGTCTCACTGTCACCCAAGCTGGGGTGCAGTGGCATGATCATGGCTCACCACAGCCTTGACCTCCTGGGCTCAAGTGATCCTTCTGCCTCAGCCTCCCGAGTAGCTGGGACTACAGGTGCATGCCACCACACTCAGCTAATTAAAAAAATTTTTTTTTGTAGCCACGAGGTCTTGCTTATGTTGCCCAGGCTGGTCTTGAACTCCTGGCCTTAAGCGATCCTCCCGCCTTGGCCTCCCAAAGTGCTTGAATTACAGACGTGAGGCATCATGCCTGGCTTCACAGTATTTCTTACCATGAGATAGATTTGTTAATCTATTTGTTATCTATTTCCCCTCACTGGAGTGTGAGATCCATGAGGCCAGGGAATTTTGTCTGTCTTGTTTTACGTCTGTCACCTGGAAACACGCCTAGAACATAGCAGGTGCTCAATCCATATTTGTGGAATGAACGAATGACTGTAAAGCTCTTAGAAACATTTGCAAGCCCAGTGGCAGCCAGGCCATGCGGGAGGAACAGCACTGGAATGGGGTGAAAGGCAGCCCTGTGGGAGCTGAGCCCATAGGAGGGTATCTGTGTTGGGGGGATCCCGGGTGGGTTGAGAACTTAGCCACATGCAGAAGGATCAAACATATTATGGAACAGGCTTAGCACAGCGAGAGGTATGTTTCTAACTATTAGAGAAAGGAATGAAAAGACGGAAAGGACAAAGGCTAGGATGAACCTCGTGCTGTTAGGCTGGAGTTTAAGGTCTAAATGTAAAATGTTTTCAGTTTATGTAGACAGATAAAGGAGTAAACAGGGATGTAAATGTGCTTGCCTACCTGTGTGTGTAAGCGTGTGTCCACTGAGTGGGCCTGGGAGTAGGATTACCCTAATTGCAATGAACATGCCGAACACCCAGAGCTTGGCTTTCGATACCATTCTGCACTAAAGAACCAGGTTTCCTTGAAGAAATGGGCTAGGGCAGGGAAAAACAAGATGAGCCTGAAATATCTTGAGCCAGAAAGAAAAGGAGTGTTCAAGAATGATGGGGCCTGTCAAAACAAAAGGTCAGCAGCGGGCAGCCGCTGACCAAACCTGGGACAATTGGAGCATCACAATACATGATAGGAAAAAGCCAGGCCTGGTGGCTCACGCCTGTAATCTCAGCCGCTCAGTGGGCTGAGGTGGGAGGATGGCCAGGAGTTCAAGGATGTATTGAACTATGATCACGCCACTGCACTCCAGCCTGAGTGACACAGCGAAACCTTTTCTCTAAAAATAAAAGTAAAATAAAAATGATGGGAATGGATTAAATCCATCAAATAAAGTAGGAAACCACAAGTCCACTTGAAATAAAAATAAATCATAAATGAAGAAATCAGTGGGGGTGAAGAGAAAATTCTTTTTTTGTTCAGCAGAAGGCCAGCCAATAAATGGAGAAAAATGATGACATTAGAAAGCCACCATTTGCGAATCATTGTCATACTAATTGATTTGGGCAAGAAACACTAACGGATGTTGAAACCTGCAGGTGAAAGTAAGATGCAGAGAAGGATGTTTCATAGTCTTGATGTATTTCCCTCCCTCAATTAAATTTTTTTTTGGTCGTAGTCTCACTCTGTCACGCAGGCTGGAGTGCGTGACACGCTCACGGCTCTTGCAGCCTCGACCAGCTGGGCTCAGATGATCCTTCTGCCTCAGACTTTCAAGTAGCTGGAATCACAGGTGTGCGCCACCACGCCTGTCTAATTTTTTTTTTTTTATTGTAGAGACGAGGTCGCACCAAGTTGCCCAGGCTGGTCTTGAACCCTTGGGCTAAGGCAGTCCTCTCGTCTCTGCCTCCAAAAGTGCTGGGATTATAGGAATGAGCCACCACCATGCCTGGTTAGACATCTTAATTAAGTGATCAACATTAATACAACCAGTCATGGTTCCATGGGCTACATGGTTTTTGTGATGTTTCTGCCCAAAATGTGTAACAGTGGTCTAATCATGAGGAAAGATTAGACAGATTCAAAGAGAAGGACAGTCTACAAAATAACTTCCCTGTAATCTTCAAAAATGTCAAGGTCATGAAACTCAAAGAAAGGCAGAAATTATTCTAGATTGAAGAAGTTAGAGAAATGTGACAACTGGATACAGTGTTTGATAACACATTAGATTCTTTTTCACCCTAAAACGTGTGGGATTTTTTTTGTTATGTTTTGACTTTGAAGGGCAGTTTGAAATTGTTTCAAAATAAAAAGGTAAAAGGAGGCCAGGAAGGGTGGCTCATACCTGTAGTCCTCGCACTTTGGGAGGCTGAAGCGAGAAGATTGCTTGAGCCCAGAAGTTCAAGACCAGCCTAGGCAACACAGAGATGTTGTCTCTACAAAAAAATCAGCCTGGTGTGGTGGTGTGCACCTGTAGTCCCAGCTACTCTAGAGGCTGAGGCAGGAGGATCACCTGAGCCTAAGAGGTTGAGGTTGTGGTGATCTGTGATCATGCCATTGCACGCCAGCCTGGGTGACGGAGTGAGACCCTGACCCCAACTCAGAAAATAAACAAGTTAGAAGAGCAAGAGTATCAGCGCTCCCCCTGGCTGATTCCTGGCAGCCTGAGTAATTCATCTTGGACAAGCTCCCAGGAACCCCCGCAGACTGACCGAGTGTGGGGGGTCTCCTTTGTGCTCCCATCATCCCTGGACCCTCCCCCCCACACCTGGATGACTGTAACTATGCTGCATCCCCACTAGCTCAGAGGTCCCTGGGAGCAGGGGACCCGTCTGAGCCATGGCCCAGAGCAGCTTCTCAAAACACATCGGATGAACATTGACCCAGAGGGCATACTGGGGGAACAGTTCATGCCTGTCTCTTCGCCTAAGGCTCAGAGAAACTGTCAAGACCAGCTCTTGAAGGAATGGCTGGCTGAGTGGGACCCATGGCCCATCAGGAGTCAGCCCTGAAGGAGCTTCCTGAAGGAAGCATTTACAGTTTATTTATGGAGACAGGGGTCTCACCATGTCGTCCAGGCTGGAGTGCACTGGCTATTCACGGGTGCAATAGCACTACTCTGACGTGGGCCAGTTCACCCCTCCTTAGGCAACCTGGTGGTCTCCCACTCCTGCGAGGATACCATACTGATGTCAGACTTGGTGGAGACACCAGATTGGCATAAGCCCAGAACGCCTGAGCTCAAGTGATCCTTCTGCCTCAGCCTCCTGAACTGGGACTACAGGTGAGCTACTGCACCTGGCAACATTTACCGTTTAGAGCTGGGTTGAGAACCTAATTCCCAAGACGGAACATGGCTGAAAAGGCCTCTCAGTGGAGAAAATTCCCTTTTGCACGTTCACGTCGCTGGTGTAGTCAGAGTGCTTGTTGGAGGGTGGTGGCCCCCTTGAGGGAGGTGGGGGATACTGAGACCCCAGAGGGCACAGCGGACCTACCCGTGCTCTTGGATCAGAAAGTGGGGAATATTACGGGTACTACTCAAGATGTTAGGAGGAAGTTGCCAGGAAGAAACTTTGACCCTTCTGTCTTCTGTGAGGTGAGGTCATAGTTACACGCGTGAATGATGCCATCCAAGGTACCAAGATGCCGACCCTTCAGGACGGGGGGCTGGGACCCTTTATGTCTGTCAGCATCGGAGCAGTCCTGGGGCCAAGTCCTGGCTCTGTCCCCCCTATCGCAAGATGTGGGTAGAGTACCCTCTGGGGGTGAAGGGAAGCCTAAGACGGGACGGGAAGGGGCTGAGTTTGCTGTGGGCCTGGTCAGAGGGTTCCAGGGTGCAGGAGGGCCTCTCCTCGCCCTGGGCTAGCCTGCTGGGGGTGGGGCCTAGCAGGGAGTGCCTTGCCAGGAAGGGAGGGCAAAGGGCCACGTCCTGCTCTTGCCCCACCTGCTGACAAGAGTCCCAGTCACCAGGCCACCCTCTGTGTCGGGCCCTCGAGGGGTAAGTGTCCTTCTGAACACACCCACCTTGTCCTTTCCTGAGGACTGGGTGGGAACTCCTTTCCTCCTTGGGGGTTTGCACACCCTTCCCAGTCTGCTGGCCCTGAGGCCAGGAAGGTGCCATACCTGCTACCTCCTCCTCACGGCTCAAGTCCTGCTCACCTTTCCAGACGTCCATGAGCCTGGGCACCGTGGGGCAGGTGCAGAACGCCCCAGTCCCCTCCCTGCCTGAAGTCAGCCCCAAAGCTAGGCTGGAAGGGCCCAGAGTGGGACACCCCATCCAGGCAAGCCCCCAATCAGTGTCCCTCCTCTGTCACCCTACACCAGAGCCCGGAATCCCAGGTGGCTGGCGCACTGGGGGACACCCAGATAGAGCCCTCCCTGGACCAAGTTCTCCAGGAGCGGGATGAAGCCATTGCCAAGTGAGAGGAAGCGGCTTGGGGATGTTGGGAGGGAGAGGCACCCCCCCAGGGCCCTGTCCTGCCAGAGGATGGGAGGGGAGGGGAAGGCTGAGCATTCTGGGAGGAAAGTCACACAAACACCCCATCACTGAGGCAGAGGCTGTGGCCACGTTTGCCCACCTCCGGGGCCCCAAACCAGACCTGCAGGGCCTGGGCCTCAGCTGCTCCCCCTGCCACCTGCAGGAAGCGGGCAGTGGAGGCTGAGCTGGACACATGCAAAGCCAGGCTGCTCGCTGTGGAGGCCCAGCTGCTAAAGGTCCTAGAGGAAAAACGGAGGCTGAGGCAGGAGGTGGAGGCCTGGGAGGTAGGGTGGAAATGCTGGCGGGGCCTGGGAGGCCTGGGGAGCGGGGCGCAGGGCTGGCCTTGAACCTGCTCTCCTGCCCCAGGAGGACATGCAGCAGCTGGTGAGACAGCAGGTCCAGAGTCAGCTGCAGAGAGAGGCCAGGGGCGCTCAGGCAGCCCACGTGGACCCAGGAGCTGCCAGGACCCCCTGGGCCAGATTCCTCCTGGGCAAGGGACGTTGGTGGTGAGAGAGCTCAGCCGGGACTCGGGGAGCAGTGTCTTTATTCATTAAAGCTTGAGGTCTGTCCACCCCTGCACCCTCGTGCCCTTTCAGTGCCCGCCTGAGTCCTTCTGTGCCGCGACGTGGAGTGGGGTGTCAGGACTTGTCGCCTGGGGTCTTGTGGCCCCTCTAGACGGTGACTCTTAGACCAGGAAGCCTCGGATGGCAGCCATGAAGTCCTGCGGGCATTCAGCGTGGACCCAGTGGCCAGCATTGGGCACGGTCTGCATCTGGGCCCCAGGGAAGAGCCGCATAATCTCAGGGTGGTGGCTAGGACTGTGCACCACAGGGACAGCCATCGAGAGAGGGTGAAGGCCGGACCAGGGGGAGAGAAGGGGACCAGAAAGGGACAAGCAGAGACAGAGTGGGGAGAGACGGAAAGCCTTGTGAGCCCGTGCGCCCAGTGGTGTTTCCAGGCTCTTAGGCATCCCCACCTATGCCCACTCCCTGGGGCTGGGGGCTGGGCCAGTAAGGCACGTCCCTCCCACTACCCAGGTGGCTTACTGCACGAATTGCGATTTTCCACCAAGGAGGAAGAGAGTTGGCCTGGGGTAGGACCCCTGTCGTGGTGGGAAGGACAAGATCTTGTCCAGGTTCTGGGCCAAAGCATCCAAATTCACCCTCCACACGAAGCGCCCATCGACCTCCACCAGGTTGGTAAGCAGGAACTGCCGCACGGCCATATCCTGTGGGGTTCCGGCAGTTGGGGGGGCTCCCTGCGAGGCCTGGGGCCCCCACTCTTCCCTCGACAGGCCCCAGCCTCCAACACCATCCGGGGGCTTGGGCGCATCACCTGGACAACAGAGCTGAGCTGCTCGTCGGCCAGTTTTCGGGCATGGGAGCGGGGCACCTCATCTGGGATGTCTACAGCGCTCATGGCCGCCATGTAGGTGGCGAAGTTTGAGACGGCTGTGGTCGTCACCGGGCTGATGTCCACGGCGATCAGACGTTCCACCAGCTCTGGCTGTGGGAGAGAAAAGGACCGGGGACCTGCCTTAGAGCAGACAGAGTGGGTCCTGGGCACCGTTCCTGGAGCCTGAACTTGGCCATCCAAGGTTTGTCTGAGTCCCCGTGTAGACCTCAGGGTCTACACTGGATGGGAGGAGGCCCAGGACGGGGGCAGCTCACCCTCTGTAGTGCCAGCAGCATCGCTGTCTTTCCCCCCATGCTGTGGCCAACGATGACGCAGGGCACCAGGCCCAGCTGGGGCAAGAGGCTCTGCAGGTCCAGGCTCATGACCTCATAGCTCATGTCCGGGCTGTGGGGGCTTTCACCATGGTTCCGAGCGTCCACTGTCAGCACCTGGCAGGCGGGATGAGATGGGGCAGCGCTGGCATCCACACACGATGTGCAGACAACCAAAGGCACCGTAGGGGCTGCAGGTCAAGGGGCGTGGACAGCCTGGGGACAGATCCTGACCGGGGGAAGGGCCCGGATGGTGAGAGGGCCCGGTTGCCCGGCCTAGGAAGCCCAGGGGAAGAACCCGGAGCCACTCTGCCAGAGAAGGCCCGAGGAGTGTGACCGTGTCTCTGAAGGTCTGGTCTGGGGGTGGCAAAGAAAGCCAAGAAGGAGACTCCAAGAATTTCCAACGGTTGGAACACAGAAGATTGGGCTGCCACGAGGGGGTGAGCTCCCTGTCCTCCCTGGCGAACGAGCAAGGGCCGGCCCCTTCGTGGGGAGGTTGCTGGCCTAGCTCAGCGTGGAGCACGCAGATGGAGATCCGTAACACGAGTGCAGACGGCGACGCGGGAGAACGAATCGGGGTCCACCCAGACAAAGTCAGAAGGGGGCCCCGCCCCGGCCGCCGGCGAGG